TGGGCCCCTCGCTTTCTTCAGCCGGCCCTTCGCTCCGCGCCATCTTAAGCTGGCGGCATACGAACGGGAGCTCATTGGCCTCGTACAGGCCGTTCGTCATTGGCGGCCGTACTTGTGGGGACGATCCTTCCACATTCGCACGGACCACTACAGCCTGAAGTTCTTGCTGGACCAACGGCTATCGACCGTGCCGCAGCACCAGTGGATCAGCAAGCTCTTCGGCTTCGACTTCTCCGTCGAGTATCGGCCGGGCCGTCTTAACATTGTGGTCGACGCGCTGTCCCGTCGCGACTCCGACCTCGCTCCCTCCACCGACGAGTCCACCGGGGCGGCCCTGTGCATCCGCTCCGGGCCGACGTTCAGTCTCTTCGCCGACATTCGCCGCGCCACTGCGACGGCCGATGATGCCGTCCTTCTTCAGCAGCAGCTCACGGCCGGCGACCTGGAGGAGCCTTGGTGCTTCTCTGACGGACTGCTTCTCCATGGGCGCCGGATCTTTGTTCCGGCGCATGATGATCTCCGTCACCAGGTGTTACAGCTCGCCCACTCGGCGGGTCATGAGGGTGTGCAAAAAACCCTCCATCATCTTCGCGCCGACTTCTACATCCCTGGCGATCGCGCCCTGGTCCGCGACTGGGTTCGGTCTTGTCAGACTTGCCAGCGCAACAAGACGGAGACCCTGAGGCCGGCTGGTTTACTTTAGCCTTTGGAGGTCTCGTCTCAGGTTTGGACGGATATATCCATGGACTTCATCGAGGGCCTTCCCAAGGTGGGCGGCAAGTCGGTCATTCTCACAGTGGTCGACCGCTTCTCCAAGTACGCCCACTTCATCGCGCTCGGCCATCCATACACGGCGGCGTCAGTGGCCAGGGCCTTCTTCGACGGCATCATCCGTCTCCACGGGTTCCCTGCTTCGACCGTCAGTGATCGGGACCCAGTGTTCACGGGCCATGTCTGGCGCGACCTTCTCAGGATGGCGGGTGTCCAGCTTCGCCTGAGTACGGCGTTTCATCCTCAGACAGATGGTCAGTCTGAGGTGGTTAACAACGTCATTGCCATGTATTTGCATTGTGTGACAGGTGATCGGCCTCGCACTTGGGTCGATTGGCTCTCTTGGGCGGAGTACTGCTACAACACCTCTTATCACTCCGCCCTGCGCGCGACGCCGTTTGAGGTGGTCTATGGTCGCCCACCCCCGCCTATACTTCCGGTGGACTCGGAGACGGCTCGGACGGAGGTTGCAAGTGACCTTATCCGCAGTCGTGACGAGATGCTTGCTGAGGTTCGTCAGCGTCTCCTTCAGGCACAGCAGCTGGCCAAGAACTACTACGACGATCATCATCGCGAGGCGGAGTTTGCAGTGGGTGATTGGGTGTGGCTGCGTCTTCTCCACCGCTCTACGCAGTCACTCGATCCGCGTGCGAAGCGCAAGCTCGGCCCTCGCTACGCCGGGCCCTTCCCTATCTTGGAGCGCATTGGGAAGGTGGCCTATCGTCTTCAGCTTCCGGCCCGCGCTCGCATCCACGACGTCTTCCATGTTGGGCTGCTCAAGCCTTTCCGTGGCGAGCCACCGGCGGCTCCTCCGGCGCTTCCTCCAATCGCCGATAGTCGCATTCTTCCCGAGCCAGCAAAGGTGTTGCAGGCGCAGCTCCGTCGTGGCGTCTGGTTCGTCCTCATTCAGTGGGCGGGCCTTCCAGAGGAGGAGGCTACTTGGGAGCAGCGTGACGAATTCAGCCAACACTATCCAGACTTTCAGCTCGAGGACGAGCTGTTTGCGCAGGCGGGGAGAGATGTTATGACCGGACAGGTCTATACCAGGAACTCAGGAAGAGGCCCACCGGGCATTAGTATTAGGGGCTTGTCCCGCAAGTTATCTTAGGCAAGTTATCTTAGGCTAAAGTTATAAATACTAGTTGTAAGACACCGTTTGAGATCAAGCAATAAAGATATTATAATCTTCTGTTGCCCGGCTCCCCAAGGAGCCGGAACCCTAGCCGCCTCTCCCAACCCTAGCCGCGACGGCGCCCGACCGCCGGCGCGCCCGCTCCAGCCTCCGTCCCCCTCCTCCCTGTCCATACAACCTACGCCGGAGGCCTGGTAGGAACCCTAGTCCTACCAGATAGGATGAAGTATAAAATCTAAAAATTAGATGTGCTAAATGTTCATGCACTGTGACCGGTTGACATTTTGGCCATACACTCGCTACAAGCTGTCGAGCTCCACTATTGTTGCTTAACGGGCAGAGGTGTTGCCCAAAGGGGCTAACTGACGTTCTTACATGAGAACAAAATGAAATGAACAATAATACTAAGTAAATGGCCGCTGGTTACAAATCCAACACCATGCTCGATCGCAATGCAAAAGCCAGCGACTTTTGACAACACAACCAAACAAGCGAAATTTGAGAAACCGCAATGCAACAAACCTCCAGGCCTCAAATTTGTAGGATCGGCATCTTTGAAGATCATTATTTTCTTCGGTGAGCAACGTGCCCGCGCTAGCCACCACCCTCTACGCATCCTCTTGCTTGTGTAGACCTGCCCAGTAGATGATGAACACACAAGCATCACATATGGGGATCAGAAGTTCCTGCTTTTGGTTTGGATAGTTAAAAGATGTGCGCACAAATTCAACGAAAACCGATTGAACCACAAAGAAGCAGGACAAAAGTAAGAAACCCGCCGCACAAAAACCGCCCCGCTGTTACTCCTGTCGTTATAGGCTGATTTGGCATGATATGATCTACTCACACAAGAATTATACACTTGGCCATGTTTGGGTTCTATTACATATGATCCACTTATATATAGTGCGACGCGGCTTAAAGAATATCCTCCTACCAACAGCCAAACGGCCATGGTTCCCAATCCACTCGCATAAACGATTGTATTTTACGTAATCAACCGGAATAACGTCTCCTGTTTCGTGAGCATTACAGAAAAGTAACTGTATCTATATGTGATGTGGGTACTGTTTTCTTTTGAAAGGGAGAAAATAGCTGCAGTGCTCTGAAACAACCACCCAGTCTCTGGTTGGAAGAATCATGTTCTTCCTACAGTCTGGCTGATACATTAATATGCTCTACCAGACTGACAAACCATATATGCCGAACATGCAGTAGGAACATAGGATATGTTTTAGTAAACGTAAGTCTAATCCAAGTGAAAATATCAAGCTATCTCAACCTCCAATTGTGATTATATAAAAACCCTTTTAAGGAAATTTTATGAATCTGAACAGTAGAGTGAATTTTTCCTAGTGGCAACAGGTTCAGAATACATCCTAGTTGAACCTAATATCCTACAAACTCATCCATATAAATATAAAAGCACTGATCAACACAAGCACGTACATCTTGCCTAAGTATTCCTTTTTTTTCCTCTCGCGCCCCTTAAGCTCTCTGTATCGATCATGAAGTTCAGGAAAAGAAAGTTAAACTTACCTCGGTTCAAGTCACTGAGCAATAAAAAAAACTAACAGCAGCAACCCAAATCTGCTGAAGCTATGCAGAGGCAACAGGGCAGTGGCACACTTCATCCAACGGCTGAGAAAGCGAGTTGGAGTCACCGCGATGAATTAATATTTTGTTTTAACTGAATAGATAGATACTATTTCTCATTTTTCTCTTCCTTTTCAGATTGATATGGTCGTAATCTGTCATGTGATTTAACAAGCAAAATGTTTGCATATAACTGCATGGTAACAGTAGCTAGGATAGTTACCCCTGTTGCTCATTAAGCACAATCAGAACACATACTTACATCACTAAACACCAATGATTAAAAGCTGACACATGGACTAGTCGTGCGACTAGTTCAGTTGGAAGACATTGCTAATTGCTAAACAATATAATTTGCCACTTTTTATGTCAGGATGGATAACGGGTCGAAGGTCTTAGTGTCATGTCAAAGCAACAAATTGGGCTGAATTTTGTGGCATTGCGAAATAGATACTAAACCAACGATTTCATACTGGCTACTTTTGCTGCCGAAACATATGTATCTGGTTTTGTGAACAACGGTGTTACATATGCAATCACTGAATAGTAGATAGATATGAAGAAAAGACATCTGGCTCCATGCAAGCTGTAGGTTGTAGCGGAACAACTTTGTATCCTTTTCTTCTTCATATGTTCCCAATAACAAATGTTAGTTCAAATTTCATTGGATTTCCTTGTTATTCATGGCACCTCCATTGGTTTGTTTTGAAGATTAATGAACTATGTAAATGATAAAACTAATTCATTTGTAGATCATGGATTAGTCCCACCTAGGTTACGTTTTCAAATTTGAAAGCTTCCAAACTAAAGAAAGGTCAACTATGATATTTAGAAAAAAAGATGATGAATCTTTAGAACAATAAGGGGAAAGAAAACAAAAGGTTAAGAAAAAAGACGTCCATTAGAAATATATTTCTAAGCATAATCAAAATATTGAACATTGAACTGCAAACTTGGTAGTTAGTACTAACTGACGAAGTATTTCTAAGCATAATCTAAATACTGAACATTGAACTGCAAGCTTAGTACTACCTGAAATATGATGGGACAGAAAATACAATGAAACCAAAACAGGACATTCTAAATAAATGTTGCCATGGAAGCAGATCACGCTGATATTTTTAGTGGAAAACGACAAAGGGCTCTTCTGTTATGTCTGGTTTTCTGGGTCCTGGTTTGATCCAAAAGTTGGTCCACGCACACATCCGATTTCCATGATCCCCAACATTAGTTAGAAACACAAACATATGAGACTTCTCATTTTCAAAAATCAACTCTAAGGAATAACAAGAACATCATATCGGGGTTCAGGAATCAAGTTGTCAGTTACATCAAGAATTAGCAATGACGAAACTGGCATGTCATGGATATTATACTATCAAATATAGCCAACATCAAGTTAGGCAATGAATACTGGGACAAGAGTTACCAGCATACAATGCAGAGTGAAAACTTTGTTGCGCCATACACATGTTACAAATTTCCATAGCCTCTTCTTGGTTCATGTAAATCTGAAATTAGCTGGCACTTCCCCTTTGCAAGCAGTTGCATAGTCTTTAGCGAGGCGTGGTGCAGCCTTCTTGTGAGGACGTATGAACCTCTCCATAAATACTTTGTCGCTCAGCATGACTATATTATAGTAGTCCCGGTACTGACCTAGCAATCCATTTGCCTTAAGGAACTTGATAACATAGTACCTGGGCCTGAGTCGGCCCTCCATGCTGTAAGAGAGCAATGCCGGGCGATGAGCAATGTACGCCGGTTCCAGCCCCATCTCGGACAGGAAGAACTCGGACCTTTGCTGCAGCGAGCTGTTTGACTTCCTCAGCACAATCGGAGCCTTACACACAGCATGGCTCACTTCGGCATCAGACCACTTGAATATCTTCTTCAAGAACTTCGCCTTGGCGGCGATCTTCTCCTCGCTTTTGAACGAGACGGCCTGCAGCGCTTGCCTAAACATCCCAGAGCCGCGGGGCACGCCTAGAGCTTCGGCGCATGCCACCATCTCCCGGACAAGCTCTGGATTCGCGGTGAGGATCCTTGGCACGACCATACACAGCTTGGCAATATCGCAAGCAGCTAGCCCGCACTCCCGCAGGAGCGCGACGTTGGGCTCGACGATCCTGTCGCGGTTGGATGTGAGCAGGTGGGAGCTCTTCCTGAGGGCCCGGAGGAAGTTCTCGGAGGAGCCGAAGAGGGGCAGGTAGTACTGCAGCTTGGGCACGACGGACTTGAACCGGAAGGGCTCGCCGGCGATGGTGGCGAGGAGCGCGACGTCGGAGCCGGACAGGCCGAGGCCGGTGCGCCCGACGACGTTGGAGGCCAGGGTCCGGTCCACGCGCGCGCAGAGCAGCCGCGGGTCCTTGGCGACGGCGGCGGCGATGTCGGCGCCGGAGAGGCCGAGGCCGGCGAGGAAGGCGAGCACGGCGTCGGGGTTGGCGGGCGACTTGAGGTGGGAGAGCTTCGTGGAGGCCTTGAGCGCCTGGGCTCGGGTGAGGCCGCAGGCGTCGACGAGGTACTCCTCCACGGCGAAGCGTTGGCTTTGGCTCGGGGAAATGGGGGCCGCGGCGGCGGAGAGGAGGCGGTGGGGCGAAGTGACGCGGAAGGCGGCCGGAGTGGAGAGGAGATGGGAGACGATGCAGCTCCGGAGGCGGAGCATGGCGCCGGCAGCGATGGCGGTGGCGGAGGCGGTGGCGGCGGCGGCGGCGGAGGGATTTTGGGTAGGTTGCAGCTGCGTCTCGTCTGCTTGCTTGCCTGCCGTAACAGGCCGTGCCCGTACAGTTAATGTTCGCTTTTTTGCTGGGCCGAATTCGTTGTTTGGGCTCATGCAATCGTTGAGTGGGCTAGCCTGCCATCTTCTTCCTTCCGCGGGAAATGGGTTCCTCTTTCGCATGACTCTGTTTTAAATTTCCCATCTACATTCCAGTTTGGTATCATAGTAATGTTTATTATTTTATGAACTATGTTTTTTCGAATCATGTAGGCATATTATGTATTAAAAAAATGAGGAAAATACATTGTATATTTTTGTATGTTGTTACGGGCCATTTCATCATGCAGGTATCATGCTCATGCACATATAGGACAGTACACCGTATTAATTTGCTTTATTATTAGAAAAATGTCACGCAACAAACAATAGTTAGTGGTCAGTGCATGTTCAGCACCAAAATAAGATTAGTATTTTTAAGTTTAGGAAATGGTAGCCAACAATGAACTCCGCATACAGGCATGATAGTGGATAAAACAAGTGGTTGTAAAATGTTTTGATGGAGTGTTGTAGGCTCAAATGAACTGGAATTAGTGAGACATAAACATGTTATTTTATTATTTACTGGGATCATTTTAATGAAGCTCCATTTTGTACTACAAAAATAATTTGCTCCAATTTTTGTTATGTTTTTATTTCTTTCTTGTTTATAACTTATTAACTATGCCTACCATTTTTATAGCAAGCACAATATATGGAAACCATGATTTTTTTTACATTATTATAGATTATTTCTTACAATTTTTGTAGTAACAAACATACTTCCTTTTTCCATGTAGAGGATCAACCGAAATTGTCCTAATATCACCCACTAGACCACATAGTAGTTTCATCCAATGCTTAGTAATCTGCCTTTTATAAAAAGTTCATATTTTGGTCATTGTTAACAACGTACTCCCTCCGTCCGGAAATACTTGTCGGAGAAATGCATAAAAATAGATGTATCTAGAACTAAAATACATCTAGATACATCCATTCCTCCGACAAGTATTTCCGGACGGAGGGAGTACAAAAGATGGTTATCCACAACATTTTTTTGAAAGCATTTTAGATGATTTTTACTAACTTTGAGTATAGAGCACAATGATATGCCACTGCCTTTTCTTTGCATGGTACTAAAGGACGTATAAGCATAAGCAGACATGTCCATGTGTAGATGCATCTAATGCATCGATATATATATACATAGGGGTGATTTTACTGGCAGGCTTAAGAGGGTGTTTGGTTGGGCTTTTACTTGGTGTCTTCACTTTGGCTTATAAGCCAAAAAGTACCTATTTATGTGCTTTCAGTTTTGGCTTTGGCTTTTGTCTCTAAATAAGCCAAAAGACAAAGCCAAAAGTACCTTAGTTTCTTTTGTTGAGCTTTCATATACTTATAGCTCTAGTGCATTCGTTGCATGGCAATTCCTACTCACTCACATTGATATCTATTAATGGGCATCTCCATAACCCGTTGATACGCCTAGTTGATGTGAGACTATCTTCTCTTTTTTGTCTTCTCCGCAACCACCATTCTATTTCACCTATAGTGCTATGTCCATGGCTCACGCTCATGTATTGCGTGAAAGTTGAAAAGGTTTGAGATTATTAAAGTATGAAACAATTGCTTGGCTCGTCATCGGGGTTGTGCATGATTAAATACTTTGTGTGATGAAGATAGAGCTTAGCCAGACTATATGATTTTGTAGGGATAACTTTCTTTTGGCCAAGCTATTTTGAGAAGACATGATTGCTTTGATTTGTATGCTTGAAGTATTATCACTTTTATGTCAATATGAACTTTTGTTTTGAATCTTTCGGGTCTGAATATTCATACCATGATTAAGAAGATTTACATTGAAATTATGCCAAAGTATCACTCCGCATCAAAAATTCTCTTTTTATCATTTACCTACTCGAGGACGAGCAGGAATTAAGCTTGGGGATGCTTGATACGTCTCCAACGTATCTATAATTTTTGATTACTCCATGCTACTTTATCTACTGTTTTAGGTAATATTGGGCTTTATTATCCACTTTTATATTATTTTTGGGACTAACCTATTAACCGGAGGCCTAGCCCAGATTTGCTGTTTTATGCCTATTTCAGTGTTTCGAGGAAAAGGAATATCAGACAGAGTCAAAACGGAACGAAATCAACTGGAGAAGTTATATTTGGAAGGAAAGCAACCTGATAGACTTGGAGTGCACGTCAGGGGAGTCCCGGGCTGCCCACGAGGGTGGGGGCGCGCCCACCCCCCTAGGGCGCGCCCCCTGCCTCGTGAGCACCCCGGAGGTCCACCGACGTACCCCTTGCACCCATATATACCTACGTACCCTAAAACTTCCAGAACAGAATATAGATCAGGAGTTCCGCCGCCACAAGCCTCTGTAGCCACCAAAAACCTCTCGGGAGCCCTTCCCGGCACCCTGCCGGAGGGGGGATCCCATCACCGGTGGTCATCTTCATCATCCCGGCGCTATCCATGACGAGGAGGGAGTAGTTCACCCTCGGGGCTGAGGGTATGTACCAGTAGCTATGTGTTTGATCTCTCTCTCTCTCTCTCGTGTTCCCTCTATGGCACGATCTTGATGTATCCCGAGCTTTGCTATTGTAGTTGGATCTTATGATGTTTCTCCCCCTCTACTCTCTTGTGATGAATTGAGTTTCCCCTTTGAAGTTATCTTATCGGATTGAGTCTTTTATGAGAACACTTGATGTATGTCTTGGTGATCAACTTGTAGGTTTCGTGACATTGGGAACCTATGTATAGGGGTTGGCACATGTTCTTGACTCTCCGGTAGTAGCTTTGGGGCACTATTTGAAGTACTTTTATGTTGGTTGGATGAATCTAAGATTGTGTGATGCATATCGTATAATCATGCCCACGGATACTTGAGGTGACAATGGAGTATCTAGGTGACATTAGGGTTTTGGTTGATTTGTGTCTTAAAGGTGTTATTCTAGTACGAACTCTTTTATAGATCGATCCGAAATAATAACTTTGAGGTGGTTTCGTACCCTACCATAATCTCTACGTTTGTTCTCCGCTATTAGTGGCTTTGGAGTGACTCTTTGTTGCATGTTGAGGGCTTGTTATATGATCTATCTATGTTATTATTGTTGAGAGAACTTGCACTAGTGAAAGTATGAACCCTAGGCCTTGTTTCCTATCATTGCAATACCATTTACACTCACTTTTATCGCTCGCTACCTTGCTGTTTTTATTATTTCAGATTACAAATACCTTTATTTACCATCCATATTGCACTTGTATCACCATCTCTTCGCCGAACTAGTGCACCTATACAATTTACCATTGTATTGGGTGTGTTGGGGACACAAGAGACTCTTTGTTATTTGGTTGCAGGGTTGTTTGAGAGAGACCATCTTCATCCTACGCCTCCTACGGATTGATAAACCTTAGGTCATCCACTTGAGAGAAATTTGCTACTGTCCTACAAACCTGTGCACTTGCAGGCCCAACAACGTCTACAATAAGAAGGTTGTGTAGTTGACATCAGAGTTCTACCCTCTGACCTGCACCGGATTGGTTCATGTTATGTTGGCGCAAGGTAGAGAAGCAACATGTGTCTCCCTGGGTAAGAGAACACATAATCCCCCCATCTTGCTGTTGGTCGTGTGCCCAACTCAACTCTGACGTCACTCTCCGCGATCTCAGGTGAGCGCCTCCGTATGGTTCGAGTCGACTAATGCCATTTTTCAAATGTTAAATGTTGTTGCCACAGATTGTTGCTAACCCGATTTGTTCTATTTATCTGTAGTCAATTAGGCAGCTGCTCATATCTTGGAGATGTTGCTAGCACAAGTGTAGTTTACGGAATAAGGATCACATGATATTTTCTTCGGGATATTAAACAAGGTTGGTATTTGTATTGATCTTCTGTATGTCTGTTAATTGGTCGTTGTATTCATGAAAAGGTGCAGTACGGGACAACGGCGCATAATTCAAAGATATAGCAGTGCAACGTCATGAATGTTAAAATAAATCCTATCTTCCCGATGCATAAACAGCAAGGTATCCTGGTGCAGTCTGCCTATGTTGCCAAGTAGTACATGTTCTAGGAGAATTATGTGGATAGCTTAGTTAATATTTGTTTAGCTTCTCCAGAGTAAAATACAATTGTTTGCTTCCTAAAATCTGTTACCACATACAAATGGCAATGTAGCTTAGAACTACGAAAATAGTTCTTCTAAAAACTAACCTCAAGAACAAATGGAATTGAGTTGAACTAGAAAATTCTAGCTTAGATGATACTAATTCCAACTTTTGTTGTGATCATGTATATTTTTATGCAATGACCTTTTGCTCTCCGGTCATTAGCACTCAATTTTCCCATCTATTTGTAACGAACTCCATGAGAACAATCTTGGACTCAGCACATGTACGTGCCTCATGTGGCCATCTCTTGAAGGACTGGGTGGTTCTCAAGTTCATGTTATCTTCTTTTAGAGGACTCCATGGTCTAATCCATTTTATAATCAGTTGTTCTAGAATGTCCCAAGTCATCCTAATTCTTTTACTCAAAAAGATGCATTTCCTTTGATCAAAGTGAGGTATATTTGCTCATGAAGAAACCTTTTTAGCCTAATGTACGTGTGTTGTTACAACTTTTGTCGTACAAAATATGTTTCGACACCAGATCAATGTAAATATATTCAGCCTAGCTGTTAAGTACTAAACTACCATTTTTTGTATTATCCATATCATGTAATTATTGTTCAATAAGTTGGTTGGCAAACGACCATTTTATTCCTAGAAAGAATCATCAACATCGCAACACAAAACTAGAGAACATATCAGCCAGTCAATATAAGTCGTTGCTACGTTTTCCCTTGGGAGGAGTTGCACGTTGGTATACACCTTAGTTTGTTTACATTACAAT